TCACACATGTGAGGCTATAGCCCCAGCCCAATATATATGTATTTTTATAATATATAAAAATATATATTTGTTAATTATATACTATTATATATTGATATTATATATTTCACATATATTTATGTATATATGATATTTATTTTATTTACATATTTATTTTTTATCTCTATCTATCTATCTATATTTTTTCGTACCAGGGATTGAACTCAGGGGTGCTTAACCACTGAGCCACACCCTGGGTCCTTTTTGTTTTTTATTTTGAGACAGGGCCTCACAAGAGTTGCTTAAGGCCTTGCTAAGTTGCTGAGGCTGGCCTTGAACCTGATATCCTCCTGCCTCAGCCTCCTAAATTTCTGGGATTACAGGTAAAAGAGGCTTTGTTTAGGTATATGCCCACTATTACTGTAGTGGCACCCTCTCCCCCACAGAAAATCTTAATTAAGCTTCTCCAGAAATCTTCACCATAATTGATTAAAGGACTATGAGCAAAAGAATCTCTACAAAAGAGTTCAATGTAGTTAAGCTTCCTATTTCCTCTTGCTCTTACAATAATTAAATTTGGCCACGGGCCTGAAAGAGATCAACACTCCGGGTGCTGAACACCTCTTTACTATTTTTTTCACAAACATTTATGGATATCTAGTAAAAAAATATAAATACACACACACACACACACACATTATATATGTATACATGTATAACAATCTGTAAAGGTTTTCAAGGGAAGTGTGTCTGCAAATGCAGAGTGTGATAAGAAAAAGATTATTTTAAGAAGGCCTCTGGCCTTGGGCTGGAGCTAAACAGAGATGTTTACATTTCGAAGATTAGAGAAGATGTTACTAATTGGGCTCCATGGTAACAGCTGGCAGGGAGAGGGAAGAAAGGGGAGAAGAAGCTCTCCCCTTCTCAGGCACTGTCCTTGAACATTGAAAGAAAAAGCTGCTTTTGTGTGAACTTCTGCAGACTGAACTTCTGAGCCCCTCCCCTTCCAAGATGGGTATAAAGTTCTGAAACTGCCTGAACTTGGGGTTCAGGGGGATTGATTGATTACAGCAGAAAGCTTTGCCCTCTGAACCTTTCTGCAGCCAAATAAACCAGCTTCCTATTTCCTATCCGGGGTCCTGCTTCATCTGTCCCCTACAACATTACAGGCACAGTGGCACAGCTTTTGATCTCAGTTACTCTAGAGGCTGAGGTAGATGGATTGCAAGTTCAAAGTCAACCTCAACAACTTAGTGAGATCCTGCCTAAAAATAAAAAGGGCCAGGAATGTAGCTCAGTGGTATAGTACTCCTGGGCTCAATCCCCAGTATAGGGGAGGGTGGAAAAGCCCAATTTCTCAGAAAAAGATGGAGAAGCTGTTACCAAGAAAGACAACATACTGAAGTTGGAATTAGTTCAGGCTTCTGTTTTCTTCAAGGTTACAGTCCTTGCACATAATGGTCTTTATGTAATGGTAACATTATCCTTCCCATATCAGAATATTTCCAGTCATTTGCCTCTCTGACCCAATATTCTTGGTTTCTTAGGTACATTCAGGAGGGCTGGGTCTGAATAAGGTGAATCAATCAGTCAGTTTCCATAAGTCATCTTGCATTTATAGTTGGACACCTGGAGTGAAGGGTAGCTACAAACAGTGGGGGAACACAGGAAATTTGCTTTGGAACTCTAGATCAAGTACATGGAGTATGTCAAATCTGTAAACAGGCCAGGCAGAATGCACTGCACTTTTGTACTGCCAGTGTGCTGGACATGAGAATGCATCTCTCAGGTTACTGTTATCCAAGCAGGGGTCCAAATGCTGCTTAGAAGTGAATTTCCTGAATTTGCACCCAGGCCAAGGCCACAGCTCCCAAGGGCTGGTTCCTGCCTCCAACTGAGGTTAGCAGAGATAAGCCTGCAAACCCTTTTCAGGGGAGATGGGACTCCTTGGTTAGCTGACAAAAGGACTTGTGAGTGGACCAAGACCTTATCCCAAAGGGTTTTGCTGAACCTTACACTTCAAGGTGGACTTCCTGGACATTTCACCCTGTTCTCTCTTCCTCTTTCCTTCATGGGGTCAGACTTGCATCAAGGTCAAATGGTTCTAGCTTTGTATTTTCCTTTACATATAAACATTTTCCCCTAATAAAATCCTTGCACATTTAATTTTATCTGAGCAAATGCTTTCCTGAGAACGAGACGAATACACAGGGCATCCAAGAATTTCTTTGGGCTCTTATTCCTTTGTAATAATCTTAAGTTTACTAATTTTCCAAAGTTCTAATTTTTCCCTAATGGAAAATGTATGGCCTCCAGAGAAAGTGAGTCTAATATTTTATTTAGTGATAAGGGGTAAAATCAGACTGTTAGCACTTACACTTTCTTTGATCAAAGTTAGTGTTTTGTCACCATTTACTTATTCTGTAATAGTTACTTGTTGCTAGTTAGAAGTTCAGATAAAAGCAAGGAGCAAAAGGAATTTTTAAGTGATTTGAGATTGTAGAACATGAGGCTTAATTGGTTCAGAAGGATCTGGATTCAAATACTGGCTCATATCCTCTCATCTAAGGAAAAATTACTGGTCCCTGCAGGCATTCAAGGTTGCAACCACAAGTCTAGAACTTGAAGGAAACCTAAGGATCACATGATGCAACTTCATCTATTTCCTGTATGTCCTCATAAGGCAATCCATAGTAGCTGAGGCCTAGTGTGCTCCTCAAACTTGTTGAGGACCTTTTATGTGCTGGGCACTATAGAACAAGTAAACAAAGAAGGAAAAACAAAACAAACAATGCAGTGTGATTAAAGAAAAAAGAAAGGCTAAGAAACTGACTCTACCCCTTTTCCGTCAGTAAATAAAAAATCAGGGGGAGATATTTTTCATGTTTAGAATGAGCATACAACTTACTTCACAGAAATACAGATATAAAAATGACATACCATAAGAACAAGTAGGTGCTCAATAAATATTCTCAGATCCTCATTCCATGGTCCTGTCTAGTACTGGAAAATGAAACACTAGTTTTCACAAACTGCTATGGATCTCCTTATTTCCTCATCTAGAAAATGAGTGGCGTTGGATCAGATGCTCCTGAAGGTTCCTTCTGGTTTTACACCAATGGTTGCAAACTCAAATGCCTCCAGGAGCCAACAGATGACTGCAATGAGTGAATCACTCTAGGTGGGACCATGACAAATTGGAGAGCATAAGCCCTACTCTCTAAAAAGACATGGCTGCTTTTGAGCTGCAATCGATTTTTCCCACTGTGCAAAGACAGACAAAACAAGTTTGTGGGCATTTGGGATGTATAGATAATCAGTTTGTGACTTTGTTGAGGCTGGTTTTGAACTCATGTTTGTCCTGCCTCAGCCTGGGATTACAGGGCATACCATGGTGCCCAGCAGTTTATGACTTCTGGTAACAGTTCTTTAAGTATATTTTTAAACGTATAATTGTTTTGGATTAAACAGATTACATATAGGCAAGAATAAAGATTTTAGTATAGAGTATCCAGGTTCTCACTACCTTGTTATAAAGAAATAAACTTTAAATGTTCTGTTCTTATACATTCAGAGATACCATTATTCAGAATTAACATTCCCCTTTTTAAAGTCTTTAACATGTCTGTATCCTTAAACTGTCCTTAATTCTGCAAATTTCTCAATTTACAAAAGGCAGTCAGACCAGATGTATTCTTCTGTATCCCTGTCTGCCAACCTTATTAATTAATCGATCCTGGATATTGAACTTAGGGCATCTCTGTCACTGAGCTACATCCAGCCCTTTTTGAGACACGGTCTCACTAAATTGGTGAGGCTGGCCTTGAACTGGCAATCCTTCAGCCTCAGCTTCCTGAATTTCTGGGATTACAGGCATGCATTGTGCCAGGCCTTGCCAACCTTATTTGATATTCAATAACGTGTTGCTGCCAGTGTAATTATTTTCAATGATAGTGTTTCATTTTATGAATAAGCCAAGATTTATTTTGCCATTCAACAGTTTTAGACCTTTAATTGTTTGCATTATTTTGCTACTACAAGCAGTGCCAATGAACCTTAGCATAAGCCAAGGTTCTCAAGAGCAGGTTCTCTTTGTTTTTCAAGGTGAGTCATGACCCATTAATGAGTTACAAAAACAATTCAGGGGATCAGAACCAGCACCATTTTTTAATGAAGTAACCCAGCATAGATATCAGGTGCATTTTATATTGTAGTGTTGTTTCATGAAATGTTTGGTTTGGTACGGTGCTGGGGATAGAACCCAGGGTCACATGCATGCTACACATTTGCTCTGTCACTGAGCCACCCACTCCAATCCCATTTCATGAAATATTTGAATGCTATATACATACTCTATGCATGTTCACACAGTGATTCTACCAAGGTACACTTCATCGGTGGCATCCTGTCCACTCTATGTCAACACTAACACTCAATATTAGCCTTTTAAATTTGTGCCTATCTGTTTGGAGTGAAATGGTTTTCTCATTTTGGTTTTAATTTACATTTCTCGGATTACCACTTGAGATTAAGAAACTACCTGTTTGTTGGCATAGGTGGATATTGTTTAAAGGATCATTTGTTTGGTTATACAAACTTGACCCTTGAAGTAAACCCAACTTTATAATTCAAGACTCCCCTTAACTGCCTACATCAGTGGAGAAATTGTTACTACTGGCTTACACTATTGGTGAGCAGCACTCATGTCAGGTTGAGTCCATTCACCAAAATACAGAGGGCATGGAATACCTCTTGATGAGACAAACCTAAGCAAGGTAGTTTTAATAAAACCGAACTCTAAGATATGTCCCTATACCTTTGATTTCTCTAATAAAATATCTGTGCAATAAGTAAAGAAAAATAAAGTTGGATTGCAAAGCAGTTGATACTAGGAAGTCAATTAGATTGACAGGAATGTGCCAGATTGTAAAAGCCTATGATTCAAATTGTGCCTCAGCAAAATCAAGAATTTTTATAGTATTAATCCTTTGGAAAATATTTGAGACCACACATGTTAAATCTTCGAATGCCAAGTGTCTGCTGTACTTTCTTTTATTATCATCATAATCTTTGCATCAAGATACATAGCAATGATAGCAGGTTTCTTTTTAAAGCTTAGTATTAAATATTAAATATCTTTCCCCAGTTTAATTTTACATTACTCTGCCAAGAAAAAAAAAAATTAAAACTCAAGTTATTTGAAGCCTGGACACACTTCCATGATTAGCCGGGCTATGTAAAAGTTGGTGTCTTATTCTTCCTGCTATGTAAGCAGATCTAGGCCCTAGAAAGATGGGACCAGGTTATAATTGTTTTTGAAAAGTGTGCTACAAAAATGGATGGCCTGTTATAAGCCAGGTTACAAAGTAAGGACAGGGGGTAAGAGAAGGACATTTTCTTTCAGGAAAAAAGAAGAAAACAATTTCTGAAGAGTCCCAGTCCATAATTTTTTCCCAAAATGGTTGAAGAAGGGAGTAAGATCTCAAAATGAGCTTCAAATTACTGTCTCTGTGAGGGAATGGTACTTGTCTTGCCGAGGAGGGTGACTGCCGAGGAAGGGGATGACTATGTTGACCATCCCCACCCTCCCCAGCTAGGGGAAAGGGAATGGAAAGTTTATTGCCCAGTGGCTGTGAAAGTGAGCTGAAGCTTAACTGGTACTGAATTCACTAAGAGGTTTCTTCTAGAAACAGACAACTCAGACTCTTCCTCTCACTTCAGCAAAGAAGTTATTTTTAAAAGCACTTGGGAAGTTCCTCCTCCACCTCAAGGTGGGAAGGCTCAGAGAAGGGAGTCATCAGTACAGCCACCTTCCAGGCCATAACGGAATTCCTGAAGGTTGGAGACCCCATAGAAGTGGACAAAGGCTGCGGCCACCACCAGGACGTGGAAAATCTGATGGGACTGGAACTGCAGGAATAAAAAGAGAACAGCCTTTAGAATACTGGCAAGGAAGAATTAGAAATATATAGGAAAAAGCATTTGTCTTCTCTGCCTAGTTTCAATTTTTTTTTTTTAACATCATAAAAGTAACATTTGTTGTAGAAGAATTCAAAGTCTTTATAGGAGATACACCGAAAAGTTAATATTGGCCACTTCCCCGCAGTGGACATAATATGTATACAAACACACACTAAGTGATCCAAGTCTTTTACCACCTTTTAACTTTAGGCTGGTCACTCACCATCACAGGCCCTACTGGAAAAGTCATTTCTTACCCATATGTCAAACTTTCCCGGAAAGAAGCGCTCAGGAATCCGAGCAGCATAAAGGCCAGCTCCGGTGATGTACATCACAGCCATGAGGAAGAACCAGCCCATCTGGCCCACTGTGGTGGCCTTGACAAAGCCCTCAGCGATAGTAAAGTGCATGGTGGGCACAACACCACTCAAGCCAAGTCCCAGGAACACTCCTGAACAGAGCAGACACGAAACTGTCAAGCAGGAAAACAGCTACTACATGGAAGGCACTCTTGTCCTCCTCTGGAATCCAAATGTTTATGATAAGTAGCTATTTTTTGGTGAAGAGTACATGTTTAAAAGTGTAGCCACAAGATGGGTTCTTATGATCCAGAATGGGAAGAAGGCTGAGTTAGTACTTAAATACCTCTTTAATATTCATTATCTATTAAGGATCCCAGGCAAAAATGATATGTCAAAATCCTGATGGTTGACCTAGGTACAAATCTTAGGTGCCAAGGCTTTAACTGACTCAAGCCAGAAAAGAATAAAATAAGTTTCCCATTAAGAACACAAAAAAGACTTTGGTAACTAAGTAAGAACTCTGACCTCCTGAGTGGAGAGATATACCCACACAAATGAGGCAAGAGCAAGGGAAGAATGGGTACTTCCCCCAAAACTACACTCTACATGACTGGGGGCGAGGGACTACCATCCTTTGTAGTACTCTTGTTTAAATACAGTATTTACCAAATGGTTGGCACTTGTAAGTATTTAATTCTTTTAGTTTAAAACACAGCAGTTATTAAGTCCAAAGAGCCTACAAACTGGTGGTAATTGGTGATGTTGCTGCAAATAACAATCCTCAAAATAAGCAGTGTACACTTGTGTGAGCCCTGCTACTGGGAAGACTGAGGCAGCAGGATCACAAGTTTGAGGGTAGTCTCAAAATAAAGAATACAAAAGGGCTGGGGATATAGCTCAGTGGTACAGCATTTGCTTAGCATGTGGGAGGGCATGGGTTCAATCCCCAGTATTGGAGTGTGTGGGGATTACAAAAAAGAAAATTAAGGAGTGGAAAGAGTGAAAACACAGAGATGTTTGTACTTATAGTTATTGACATTAGTTGTTGACCATGTTAACACTCAAAACATTTTATTCACCAAGTCAGGCATCCCGTTTCCTTAGTAAAATGCTTCTGGTGTTTTCGTTGTAATCCCTTGGTCTGAGTACATTCGACCTGGGTCACTGAAATGACTGTGCTTGCTATATTGTTAGACTGTTTGAAATCAAGTATAAGAGCAGTCACAGCTTTTCTTAGAGATAAGTGACCAGCTGGGTAATGATCTGTTCTAACAGCAAACTTGAAACACTAGTGAAAACTGAAGAAGAAATGAGCTTTGAAAATTCACACATTTTTAAAATGTGTGTGTGTGTGTGTGTGTGGGGGGGTTACCAGGATTAAACCTGGGGTACTCTACAACTGAGCTACATCCCAGTCTCCCCATCCCTTTTCAGACAGGGTCTAACTATAGTGTCCAGGCTGGCCCTGAGTTCCAATCCTCCTGCCCAAGTAGGCAGGATTACAGACATATGCCCCCGTGCCTGGCTACAATCACATCATTTTGAAAGTTTCACACACAAATAAGATTTGGGCAGGGTTCTCAAATCTGCCAACCTCAGGGTCCAGGGTTGAGCCAAGTAAGCCCAAGGTTCAAATACCTTTGAGGTCTACACTGTATCTTCGTACTTACCTGCTCTTGTTTGCCGGTGCTTAGGAGTGGCAAACCGGTCCCACTGTGCCACAATGATGGCAGAGATGCCCAGGACACAGACGATGGAGAGGTAGATGAGCCGAGGCTGTGGGGAGCAGTAGAAGGAATAATAGAGCCAGGGGACAAAGCTCCCCATAATCAGTAGAGCAATCCCTGAATAGTCCAGTCTAAAAAGGAGCCACAAAATGCAATGAGTCAGTGAGAGAAATGAAGAATCCCAAGTGGTTCATTTAACTAGTTCTTTCTGTTCTCTACCTGCTCCCAGATCTGAACATTTCTAGTCTCTCCTGACTTTCCATACAGTTAATCCTGTATCCTAGATTAAAATTCCGTAAGCTCAAGCACTTCTACTGTACAATAGAAGTCTTTAAATGACCCTGCTCACAGAATTCTGTCCCTCTCCCTTAGTTGTAGATACTTGAATTTAGCAGTTCTACCACAATCCAGCATCACACTCAGGAAGGCTCTAAATAGTCTTCCATTCTGACAATGATTTCTAAAAACAAAAACCTGAGATTTGGAGTATTATTAAGGCGTACTGTCACTTGTTTTGTTTTAATGGACTTTTTTTTTCTTTTTGAGATGGAGTCCAGCTAGGATGCCCAGGTTGACCTCTAATTTCCAGGCTCAAAGACCCTCATGTCTCAGCCTCCCTAGTAGCTGGGACTAGGTCCATACAACTATGCCCAGCATCAATTTTTTTTTTTTTTAATTTTTTTATTTTTTTGCTATTGGGGATTGAACTCAGGGGCACTTGGCCACTAAGTCACATCCCCTGCCCTGTTTTGAATTTTATTTAGAGACAGGGTCTCACTGAGTTGCTTAGCGCCTCACTTTTGCTGAGCCTGCCTTTGAACTCTTGATCCTCCTGTCTCAGCCCCCAGAGCTGCTGATTAAAGGCATGTACCACAGGGCTCAGCAATTTTTTTTTTTAAACAAAGAAAATATATTCTTGTTACTGGTGCTATTAGTAAAAACAAAGGAATCCACTAGCATCCCTACCAAAAACAAAAAGAAGCACACAAATAAAAGAACCTCAGGCTCAGAGTTGGGGAAATAGGGATGGACATGCAGGGCTTCCAAAAATGCCTACGCAGCACAGATAAGCATTAGCAGGAGGAAACATGGACAACTTGTCACGCCCTACTCTGGCTTGGGCAACAGGAAGATAAGCTAGTATGAATGGAAGGTCTTGGAAAATAACCCACTTAAGGTAGTACTGTTCAGGTAGAAAACAGATTCCACAACCGGCTTCATGAAGTGTTTATGAGAAAAGCTTTATCACCTTGCTGTACCCAAGGAAAAGAAAGCTTTTCCTCAAGCAGTCCCAGTCAGCACTGGGATCACAAGAGGTGACAGTGGTGCACACAGTCTTTCCTGCTGTTCTTTCAACTCACTTGGAAAAAGTCCGGGAGACTTTCTCTGAATGACAATAGACGGTGTGGAAGAGCCAGGAGAAGCTGAGGCAGAGCACTGCACCCAAAAAGAACATGCCAAAAACCACTTTCTCCTGAAGAGGGGCCATGAAGTACATATTTGGTCTAAGCATGGTCAAGATTCCCAAAAAGAGAAATAGTACGAAACCTGCAGGAGAGAAAAAGAAAAAGCCTGTGAGGAAAAGGGACACTTTGACAGCTGGTGGTTTTAAATCAGTGAACTATGGGGCTTACTTTAGGAAATGCAGTCACAAATAAAGCCCACTTTCAGGAGAAAGTGGCACTGGTCACACAAACCCAGACAAAAGGACCATTTTTTGGAAATGTTGGCATTTTGTATTTATGGGAAATTAGGAAATAGGAGTCGCCTCCATCTAGAACAGTTCTGCTAAGGATCACAAGAGAACATCTAGGTCCCAGTTTCTTTGACTTAAAGATCAGTGATTAAGAGTCAGTCAAGGTCACTGGTAGTTTAAAGGCACAATTCCAGCTATCAAACAGCCAGAATAATTTTGTTCTTCTTTCCCATGGACAAAGGCTACAACCCCTGAGTTAAGGAGATAAAAAAAAAAACTGTATTTTTCCCTGTTCAAATCACTTACCAAGCAGATGGGTCCAGATGTTGCCAGTTTCTGTGTGGATGCGGAAGATGCTCTTGAAGCAAGCACGAAAGGAGGGCATGGGTGGTCTGTGGCCATGTAGCAGATAGTCATTGTCCTTCAGCCAGTCAGGAAGTACATCATATGGGATGACCCTCCAACGCCCCTCCCAGACCTAAAATATATACAATGTTTCTAGGAAAGGCTCTAGAGAACCCTAGCCTCCCTGCTGTCAAGTAGATAGTGAAAGACAATCAGTCCAGAAGGATGCCAGTCAGGCTTTGGATGGTTCCAGGTCCCGGTGGGAAACCTGCCTGGATCAGAAGATACTCAAGACATAGCACAAATGGGGCTAGAGAGTACTAACCCATATTTTGACAACTTAAAAAAAAATTCCTTTGTCCTTATTTCTATTTTTTAAAATATATTTTTAGTTGTAAATGGACACAATACCTTATTTATTTATGTTATGTGGTGCTGAGGATCAAACCCAGTGCCTCGTGTGCTAGGCAAATGTTCTACCACTGAGCCACAAATCCAGCTCCTGTCCTTATTTCTTGTGGTTTATCTGAACATGCCTCAGCTAAGTATTTTCCAACTCTTAAAGAAAATATAGTATATATCCTCCTTTTGGCTTCTTGCAATTTCAAAATACAGTGAATAAAAAACAAAGAAATTATAGATAAGGGTTTTAAATACACATAGATCCCTTTTTCTATAGGAAGTCTGCTCCATCCTTTCCTACAACTAAATTCTAAGTTCTTTTTTTTTTTTTTCGCTTTTTTTTTTTAAAGAGAGAGAGAGAATTTTAATATTTATTTTTTAGTTATTGGCAGACACAACATCTTTGTTTATATGTGGTGCTGAGGATCGAACCCGGGCCGCACGCATGCCAGGCGAGCACGCTACCACTTGAGCCACATCCCCAGCCCCAAATTCTAAGTTCTTACTTGGCTGGGACTATATCTTTACAGAGTAGGGTTCTTAATTTAGGATCCATGCATAATACACAGAATCTAGGAAGTAGACAGAAACTTGGATGGGCAAAAGTATCTGTATTCTCATTTATCTATAATTAAATTTAGTGGGCCCCTCAATTATAAAAGTACGCAAAAGATCTCAGTAGTATTAGCAGAAGTTGTGACTGTTACCAATAGAAATCATATTTTCTTAGGACTGCCTCAGTAGTAGAGTGCTTGCCTAGCATGCACAAAGCCCTGGGTTCTATCCCCAGCACAACACAAAACAAACATATAAAGGAAAAAACCTAGATATTTTCATATACTCATTTGCAGAGATTTCAAAGTTTTCTACTCATCATTACTCAGAAATTACAAATTTTAAGAAAACGTGTTAGGATTTATCATTAACACATATTTAAGGTGTTATAAAGGAACCCATGTTACTATATCATTTAAATATTTTGATGACTGCCAAAGGGATCCATAAAAAGAAAGTCAAAACTCTCTATTTTAGACTATGTTTTGAACAAGGTCCACCGTAGTATGCAGTAAACATTCAGCCAGTCTTCACCTCAACCAAAAAAAAAGACGCACCCACAGGAATACAAGCCCTTCAGCCCCAGACAAACTTGCCAGCTGGAAACATCCCAGACAGTCCTGCTGACACCCTCCCCATCCCCACTTCCAGGATGAAAGCTCCAGGCTGCACCTTATATACGAACTCCTCCATCTTCTCCATGGCATGGTGGGCCTGCAGGGGAAGTGTCAGTACCCGTACCTCCTCCTCTTCTTCCTGGGGCACTGGGCATGTTTGTTCTTCTTCAGCCTGAAGGAAAACAACAAACAAAATCCAGGCATCATCTCATAGAGTGTACTACTCCTTGGTCAGGGAGATCCACAGACACCCAAACTCAACCCGTTCTGCCCAGCCGTTCTCCTACACAAGTACCTTGTGCCGCTTCTCCACAAGCATGTTTGTTGAGTTTACAATATTGTAGTTTGAGGCTTATTAATGTTTCATAAATGTTGGAGTGAGAGAGTTCTATTCTGCATACAGGAGGGTAGACTCTAAGAGCCTAGCATAGGAGGGACTCAAGATTAGCACACCACCCTAGATGTTCTTTATCTGAATGACCCGTCCTGTTCTCTAGGACAAGTGGTTCTCAACTTTCCCAAATAGTTTCTTTCTTCCATTCGACCAAGTTTTCAAAACAATGAAAAAGATAAAGAGTCTCAGAGATTTCCCTAACAAGAATTGTATTCATAGTTTGTTCACCAACTCTAGGGATGCTATCTTGGCTGTAACTTTGTATCCACAGCAACTCCCAGGAGCCTGGGGCCTCAGAACTGGTTACTCACCAAACAGCAGTTCTGACTCCCGAGGCCAACTGAGTGCACCCAGGAGGGCATTTGCCTATATAGGAGACCTTTCTCCCCTAGGGCTCCAGACCATGGAGATGGGAAGTCTGGCAGTGCAATTCCTTCTCTGGACTATACTTGCTTCCTCTATCTTTCCGGATGAAGGTCCCTGTAAGTACTGGGTGTCTCTTAGATTTTGTGATGCAGATTCTGCCTTGCCTCCCCCAATACTCTTTCATCCTAAGGAACAGAGTCCTTGGATTTATTCAATGCAATGTTATTCCAATTTTACTCAGGCCTAATGGGAAGACATTTCCTAATGTCTTTACAGCTGAATAGAACTATGTAACAAAGTTCTGGCCTATGTGTTGTGAAGTCCTTCGTGTTACTCTCATTTAAAAGAAAAGAATGGTCCCTTCTCCTCCTGTATGGTGGGGAGGTGTGATTCATTACTCCCATATCCTTTTATTTGAGAGAGATTCCTAACTTGTCAAAGCTATAGGGGTTTTTGTTTGATACATAAAGTCAAATCTATTCTGTCTCCTACATTCACTTACTGATTTCATATTAGATTTCAGGCCTTATGCTGTGTACTTTTTTTTTTTTAAACCCTAACATGTTGCCAGGATGATTCTTTTTAAAGATATTTTTTAGTTGTCAATGAACCTTTATTTTATTTGTTTATATGCGGTGCTGAGAATTGAACCCAGTGCCTCACACATGGTAGACCAGTGCTCTACCACTAAGCCACAACCCCAGCTCATGCTGTGTATTTTTGGGGAGTGAAATTCCCAAAGCCTATAGTGGGGAAAACAGCTAAAAAGATACTTATTATGGTTTTTTTTAAGGAAGGAAGGGAAGGGTTTTTTTTTTTTTTTTTTTTTTGGTACTGGGGATTAAATTTAGGGGTACTTGGCCACTGAACCACATCCCCAGTCCTATTTTTTGTATTTTATTTAGACCCAGGGTCTCATTGAGTTTCTTAGTGCCTCATCGTTGCTGAGGCTGGCTTTGAACTAGTGATCCTCCTATCTTAGCCTCCAGAGCCACTGTGACTATAGGCATGGGCCACCACGTCTGGCTGGAAGGGTAGATCTTAAGAAATAAACTGACAGCCAGGCGTGGTGGTGTATGCTTATGATCCTAGCAACTTGGGGAGGCTGAGGCAGAAAGATTGCATGTTCAAAGCCATGCAATTTTGCTTCAGCAAAATAGCAAAGCCCTGTCTTAAGAAAAGAAAGAGACCGACAAATGTGAGGAGAGACCTTGGTCAAGGAAGGACTCCTGGGAAGATGCCTTACCTTGTTTGGGTTGGCAATTACCCGCTTGCCCTTCTCTTCTAGCAGGGGTCCCAGTTCAGCCAGTTCCACCGAGTCAGTTTCCCTGTTACTGGCAGGAGCCCCGTTGCCCTGTGCCACCACAGATCCTTTGTGGGAAGACATCTGGCTGGTACCTCAGTACCCTGCAGCTTCAGCTTAGGAAAAGGCTGGAGTCTCTCAGCCCCAGGGGGCAGAGATCTCCCTGTGATGGCAAACACTAAAAGCAAACACAAATATAAAGGGTGCTGACAATGTATTCCTTTTACAGTTTCACTTCTATCATTCAATACTGAGTAAAACACAGCTAATTAGTCTATACCCTGTCTCCAATTGTAGAGGCTAGTTCACTTAAAAAAAATCTATTCCTTATCCTCTCTTTAATGTCACCCTTTACCCAAAACCTCATCCATTTTACTGATGAAGCCAAAAATAACCCATCTTGTTGCTTGTCTTCACAGGACCTATGATCACTGTATCAAATTGCTGCTACAGAGAATCAGGTTCTGGCCCTAAGGTCCCTCCCACAGGTATGGAGCCCATTAGATGAATCTTGCCTATCATTTCCCAAACTCATACTAAACTAATTCTATCTCAGGATTATAGCCTGGGTAACACTTGTATAACAAGCTTTCATTGCATCTATCCTTAAGGCAGATAGTAACTTACCTGGAAGCAGGAAGCTGAAGACAAGGAGGCTGCCCCAAGTTTGCCCTTTGTTACACACACACCTCATAACCAGCTTGACAAAAGCTTGTCCCAGTCACCACAGTCCATAATCTAAACCCCGCTCAAATTACTTTTCCAGAAACTAGACACAGGCTCACAGGTCCTTTAGGAAAACCAGAGAAACCCTGACTTCAGTTTTCTAGGAAAAGTCTCAGAAACATTAGGTTTTCCTGAGTTAGACTTCAGGTAGTGATCTTTAATGAGGCCTGAGAAAACTGGGGGACAGTTTCTAAAGATTTCTATGTTGTAAATTACTAGTTCTTCTCTCCTCCCTCCTAGAGACAATGGACTATTACACACAGTAATAGCTGTAGCCAGAATATTAGCATTTTCTTATACTGCTTACTCAAGCCCCAATAGCCACAGGGCAATGCAGAGAGGGCCTAGAGTGAGATGCATTATGGTAATGGTAGAAACTTAAGCTTAGGGAGCCCAGCTGTATCATGCTGGGAAGTAAACATGACTTTGTTCCCACTGTGTACATTATACCACCCACAGCTGCTCACTATATGTATAAACATCTTTGACATCTTACACTAGTTTTTATCAAAGAGTAATCACAATTCCTTATCAGGGATTACAATTGGGTATATGTAGTCAGGTGTGATTTTAGGTGTCAACCTAACTGGTTTAAGGGAAACCCAGATAGCTGGTAAAGCATTATTTATGGGTACATCTCTGGCATTTGAATTAGTTAGATCTGAGTATGGAAGATCTGGCTCCCACTCAATGCAAGTAGACATTATCTAATCAGAACAAAAAGGGAGATGAATTTTCTCTCTCAGAGCTGGGACACATTTCTTCTCCTGTCCTTGGACATCAAGAACTCCAGTTCTATGGCCTTTGGACTCTGGGACCTGCACCCGTATCACCTGGTTCTGAGGTCCTTGGACTTGGACTGAACCATGCTACTGGCTTCCTGGTTCTCTAGCTTGCAGACAGCCTATTATGGGAGTCAGCCCCCATAATCATGTGAGCCAGTTCCCCTACAAATCCCCTTTCATCTATCTGCCTGCCTATCTATCTGCTTTTAATTCTTTCTGGAGAAACCTGACTAATACTTCAATTGGTCCTCAGATATGGCAAGCCTCAAATTTCAGAACAGCCACATGTCATGTTATGCTAACCCATAAACACAGCTGAAAGCAACAGACAAATCTAGTCCAGGAGACAAAAACAATAACTCACTGTACAGCAGATCTTTATGTGGTGTCAACATATAGACAGTTCCTCTTCCTTTGAGTGTGCAAGACTCTGACAAGAGGGCTGCCAGCATGCAGACACAGAGAACAATTGAGCTCAAGGAGAACAGGAAACAGGAGGCCCCTGAAAACCTCAGGATAGGCAACCCACGTGAGAAGACACATTGGGAAATCTTTTTCAACATCTGACCTCAAAACAGTTCCTCAAAGTTAAGTACTACTGAATAAACAGCTTTACTAAGAAATAATTTAAGCTTAGTAGTGGTGCACACCTGTAATTCCAGTGATGTGGGAGGCTGAGGAAGTTTGCAAGTTCAAGGCCCACCTGGGCAACTTAGTGAGACCTTGTCTCAAAATCAAAAATAGAAATGATGGGGATGGGGTTGTGGCTGTGGCTCAGTGGTAAAGCGCCTGCCTTGCATGTGTGGGGTACTGGGTTTGATCTTCAGCAACACATAAAAATAAATAACTAAGGATATTGTGTCCACCTACAACCAGAATTTTTTTTTTTTTTTTTTTTTTTTTAAATGATGGTGGGGGCAGGCAAGCTGGGGATATAGCTCAGTTGGTAGACTGCTTGCCTCACGTGCACAAGGCCCTGGGTTCAATCCCCTGCACTGCCAGAAAAAAAAAAAAAATGATGAAGATGTAGCTCGATGGTAGAGTGCCTTTGGTTCAATCCTCAGTACTACTACTACTACTACTACTACTACTACTAATTTTTTATAACATTGAGCAAAAAATACAAATAGCTTTGGGCACCTTGGAGATGTCTGAGAAGAAAAGCAGACAGTGTAGAATACTGCTACCAATAATTTAGAGTAGGCTACAAGGGCAGAAGCAAAACAAAACAAAATCCCTTAGTATGTAGACTACAAAAATAATACATATCCATAATTTTTGGTCAGAACCCATATTTCAAAATGAATGAGTGAATGAATGGGGCAAATCCGAGCCAATAAGCACATGCCTTAGCTTCTTGCCACTAGCTAAGGTTTGTGCACTTTTTCTTAAGCTGTGGGGCTTTCTCTTATCCCTTTCCCCAGAGTTAGCAAACATAGTCATTGAATATTTAACAAACATATTTAGTCGTATCCACTAAGACATTCTAAGGTTCTGTACAAAATACAAAGTTGAATAAGTTATGTCATCGTCTTCAAAGAACTTTTAATTCAATGGCATAAGGTAGTTCATGATATTTCCAAATTAAGTGATACAAGACATTGCTCCAGGAGGACAGTGAAAGAACATAATTCCTCAACTTGAATGGTGTCACATGGTGCTACACTAGACTTAGTGTGTATGTATTTTACTAGAGGCAGTGAGAATAATATAGACAAACTTTTAAGCTGGACAATTAGGCTCCAAAGATCAGAAGCAGAATCCAGCTTGGTAGTCTTACTAATTTCCTCATTTGATCTGAAAAGTTTTTATATCCTCAAGTCTCTTATAGTCACCATTGAAGTTTTTTCTTTTTTCAGTCCAAATCACTTGCTATTAAGAAAAAATCTTCTGATTCCCTCCAACTCTTCCATCACTAGCTCCTATACCACCCCACCCCATCTTCTAGACCCAGAGCCAGCAAACCTAACAGACACCCCAACTCATAAACCAGCCATCAGCTACAACTCATATAAAAATATATCATCATGCATTAAAGTACATACAATGGAGGTCAATGGAGATCATGTCATCATAGTGAGCAAAGTCCATTGTCCAGTTTGGTCTTCTAAACTGTAGCAACACAGAGACAGGAAAGGGAGAGATAGGGATCGGAGGTCTGGCAAGAAAGAAGAGCAAGTAATACTAGGCCCTAAAAATAGCACTTCTATAAGGTTGACCACTTGCAAGCAACTGGGAATTACAAGAAGTGTTTTAGTCTATTATATAAAATCAGCACAAACCCTACAGTATTCGACTGATTCTGAGTGACTCAGAAAAGCCAAAATATACTTCAACTTTCTGCCAGCTTTCTATCTCCTCAGGTATTTAGGAGGAAACACCTTTCTTCTCAAACTAGCCACACCCAGCACAACAAATTATAATTGAGCCAAACTCCATCAAGTGCATTTTTGATGGGATTTCTTCAACTCAAGCTAATAAACCTTAACCACTAAGCTTTCCAACTGGATAAACCTAGGATATTAAAAAGTAAAGCTGTGGAAGCAGGGAGGTGTTTGTGCTCTTACAAATAAGATAATCCTGTGCCAAACCTGAGGAAAAGGTTGATTCTTAATCACCAGCTAGAGAGTTATTTCCCCTACAAGTGTTTGGAGACATTTATTCTATGAAACAATTTCCGACTATGACACACATTCTCCTTGGTTTTGACTCAAGCTTTTATGAGTTTTTATCTGGAGTTTCTGGACCCTTAGAGACTCTGTGGGGAGGCTCTCCAGTAGCATGATTCTCACTGTTCTCACCAGTCTAGCAGTATAGAGAAATCCATTTTCTCCTTTCTGAAGGGGAAAAATGAGTCAAGGCAAAGACCTATTTGAAAGTATGGAACTGCAATAATGAAGTCTCAGCTCTTCTATTTGATGCCAAGTGTCAGAAACTTAGAATCTGAAGGGAAAAATCACAATAACTTCCTTTGTAGTTCTCTTCTTGTTAAAGCTATCCCAACAGAAGAGGTCTTTTCCATCCCAACAGAGACAGATAAACTTTCCTAATGACGCATAACCAACAGAACAAAACAAAATAAAAAAATCACCATACAGGCATATGAGGGATGTTCATGCCAGCCTGTTTTCAATACCAACTTTCAAGTACATCATAGATACATGGTCAATACAGTTACAAAACAGCATTCAATTTATTTCATGTACCCCAGAAACCCTAATTAAACAAAAGCAAACTAGGTGCATGCCTAAAAACCAATCACTTGGAACTGGTTTGGTAAGAGGGCATTTTCAAGGACCTTTTCAATCCAAAATTACTACAAACTTTATAAACATTAATCATGCTCCCAACTTTTATGAGCAGTAAAAGGGAATTAAATCTGAGCACACTGAGAGGAACAAAAACCTGTAAATGACATTAGGGACAAACGAACATTAAGGACAAAATGTAACAACTTTGATGAGTACCACCACCAGAAAAAAAAAAAAAAAAAAAACCACCCTAACTAACAAAGCCTCTAGCTATGAAGATGACTATTAAGTTCACCAGAATGATCTCACCTAGATGGGACAGGATAATGCAGTAGAGTGTTAAGATTTTCAGTCTGACTTTATACTACAGTAGTCAAAGAAAATTTCCTAGGGAAACAGAGAACAAATTTACTAGCCTAGAAAGAAGGGCAAATTCTTTTCTTTATTAATCTGAGACTACACTGGTTAATACAATATATATGATGTGGTTACAGAGAAAAGGCAAACAGAGGAGTCAGAAGCTTGAAGGAGCTGCTGACTTCCATTTTAAGAGGGGGAAATAATGGTTGTTTTCTTATAACACCACTACCAGACTGTTTTGTGGAAGGATATTTTTTTTTGGGGGGTGGGGTGCCAGGGATTGATCCCAGGGGCTCTTAACCACAAAGCCACATCCCCAGCCCTTTTTATATTTTATTAGAGATAGGGTCTTGCTGAATTTCTTAGGGCCTCGCTAAGTTGCTGAGGCTGGGTTTGAACTTGAGATACTTCTGCCTCAGCCTCCAGAGATGCTGGGATTACTGGCATTTGCCACTGCACCCAGCTTTGTGGAAGGATTTTTAAAAAGGGTCTTGATAAGTAAAGATGGAAGCAGGGCATTCCAGGAGGGTACACAATGTAAACAAGGGCAGGAAAGAACACAGCCCCTAAGACACGAATAATTCACTTTTCCATAAGGGAGTTTTAGGTAAAATGAGGCCAGACTGAAGAAACTGAAGATAGCCTAAAAGCCTGCTTATGATGGTATTCTTTATCCATTAGCAATGGGAAGTGAGCCTTGTTGCTTCCTGTTAGTTTTCTAAGATTCTCTCCTACTTATAGGAAAAGTGGTCACTTATTTATTTATTTACTCCCTAGGAATCATGTCATTTCCTGACCACTGAGAACAAAATGTTTTCGGGTTCTACTCTGTAATTAGATAATTTTGCAAAGGTCTATGTTAAGATGGACTTCCACAGATATCCCCAATTTTAAGAGTGAGTCCCCAAGTACCAACCACACTATGGGTCCATAGAAATTACTCCTAGAATAAAGAAATTTAGTGGCTGCAAGCCGGGAACCCTGACATTGCAATCTGTGCAATCTGTTTAGCGCCACCCTGTCTAAATTCCTGGCAGTGAACAGATACTATAAAATCTCAGGAACAGTGGTTGCACCATCATACCCTAACCAGCCACTATCAAAAGAGAAAAGCAGTGGACAGACCCCATTATTACTTCAGCTTAGAAAAGAACCAACCATCTCCATCCTCTTTTGATCGAAGACAGCAGCCTAAATATTCACCGTGGTGCTTCCTAATCCATCTTCCAAATACTTGAGGGAAATGCTATGGTTAATTTAGTAGAGTACCAAGGCCTCCTTTTGCTCCGCTGACATCAGAAACTGTAAACCCAAATTCTTCCTGTCAATTTCCTATACTCCCACGAAGCACCAGAAACGGAGGGAAAGCACTTATCTATTTTACTTTCGTAAACACCAAGGGCGTGAAGACCCCAATTCAGCCTACATCAATCCTAGATTTCTGAGAGAATGAAATTTCGTTTCCCCAAAGTAGTTTGGATTTTGCTCACATTTCAGCTTTTAGGGTTACCTTACGACAACTGTCCACCAATCTCCGCCCCCGACCACATCAAGATGAGAGTACTGTCAGGTCTGACTCGCCGAAGACTAGAGGTCTGGGAGCCTTACGCTCCCGCGGCCACCCAGGGCGGGTGGGTGCTCCCGGCTGAGAGTGGAGGAGGTTCTGCAACCCAGGCCCGCACCCCGACTCGCAGGCTCAGCTTTGGTCGTCCGGTAGCGACTAGGGCCGGAACCCGGGCGTCCCAACCCCCGTGGGGTTGAGGACACAGCACTCACCAGGGATGCCGGGCGCCGGGGGACAGCTAGGCACGAGCAGCCCACCCGCACCGGGGCTGCGGATTTGGAGGCCGCCTCGCAGGCGGCGCGCAGTGGGAGGGGCCGGAAATGTTTACCAGCCCGACCGCCGGGAAGCTGGGAGGCCCGCGCCCGCTCCAGCTCGGGAGCCGGGGACCCTGGGGACCTCGAGGCGGGCTACTTCGCGGCTGTCCCCTTCTCAGGCCTGGGCTCGGGCTGCCGGAGTCCGCTCGCAGGCCGAGTCCCCGCCCACCGGCCAGCCCCGAGGAAACTTACGGCCGGGTGGGCAGGCTCTGCTGGGGGCCGCGGTCCCCCAGCTACATCCCGCGGCACTGGAGGCGGCCTGCGGCCGAGCGGCCCGGGATCTTCAGCGCCTTCCCAGCGCCGGAAGGGGCGCGCGACCACACGGCGTCACCTCCGCAGCCGCGTCACCTCCTCGAGGCTCTACCTCGCCCCCTCCAATCCCAGGCATTCCTCCCAGTGTCCCAATCGCGGGCCGGCTCCCTAGGCCCCGCCCCACGGGCCCGCCTTCCCGGAGGGGCCCACCTCCCGACTCTGCTCCAATCGCTCACGCCGACCGCCCCCAGCTTGGCGCTCGCGCGGTCCAATTGCAGACCCTACCTCGCCGGGCTCCAACGGCGGCGCGTGATGGAGAAGCAATTCCAGAGAATTAGACCGTACCCTGGGAAGGAATGCATAATTTCCTATCAAACGCCTTGTCTAGGACGAGAAATAACTTACATCTTTCCTATTTTCAACGCCTATCGTTTCATCTCCGGAACAGTTCTTAATACCTCTCGAGTCTCGTGGTTTCCTCCTCCCTACCCACTTCCTTGTGCCAGGCGCTGAGCTAGACTTTTGTTTTGGCTCCTATTATTTCTCTTCAGAAACGGCGGGATTTTTTTTTTTTAACCAGTCTAGCTTGAGAATTCCCAACCATGGATCCTGATCCCACGTGCACCCAAAGGGCATATCTGGGAGGCAATGTAGGGTGGGACAACCCTGACACCCATGAACCACACAACACCGAAGTGATCTATGGGGTACACCATTTTTCTTGTTCTCCCAAGGATGGTGTGCACTAACTCCATCCCAGATGCAGAGAAAGGAGCTCATTATGTTGCGTGGACACATCAAGGCAGTGGGATCAGTGATGTTGGTGCTGGCTACAAGCGTGAGCTCAGGAGTCACACAGATCTAGTTTCCTTTTCCTAGCTAGACTATGATCGTAAGCATATTACTGAACCCCTCTAAATGATAATTACCCCAGCTGAAAATGGGGAAAATAGTGTTATTTCATTAGACCTTTGTCAGGGTTAAATGAGATCATTTTTGCAGGCTTTTAGTATTATGGCTGGCAAATAGTCAATGCTTCATAAACAAGAGCTGTTACTGTGTTGACCATTGAGAAAACCCTCAGAAGCTTCCTGCTATCCACCAGCTTTGAGTTAGTTTCTTCAGCATGGTCCTTTATAAGCTATTCTAACCTACTGTCAGGATTCATCTTCTTCCATTTCTCTTTCTGGCATTTTGGGCCTCAATGAACTTCTAGATTCTCCAAATGCAAATTTCTCTTTCATGTAGTTTTTGCACATTCTAAACCTTTTGCTGAATTGCCTACCCCACATTGCCCAGTTGTCTGATGAAAGATCCAAGCCCAGTTCTAGTTGGCCCCAAACAATCCTAAATTCAGATTCAGGTTCCATCAGCCACTGGCCAGTTGTATTTCCTTTGGCAAATCTTAATCTTCAACCCACAGGATTAGCATAAATTCTTAGCACAGTACCTGGTACATGAATGTTAACTCAAAGATGATAATTCCCTTTTTTCTCTTCCTCCTTCTCTGAATCTTTCTCAACCCCTTCCTGTCTATACCTCGTATGTATCTCTGTGATAATTTTTTGTTTGTTGGTTGTTTGGAATATTGGGGATAGAACCCAGTGTTTTACCACTGAGCTACATCCTGAGCCCAGATTTCAGGGCTGGGTATCAAATTTTAAATCCTCCTGCCTCAATCTCCAGAATCACTGGTATTACAGGAGTGTGCCACCACACTCAACTCTGCAATAGTATCAATCACACTGTATTGTAATGATTTGTCACTTGTCTACCTTGGATTGTGAGTTCTTCGTGGAGGGTCTAACACCAGTTTTGGTCTTGTATCCTCAGGGCCCAGCACAGTGTTTACCATATGACAGGTCCTTAATAAATATGTGTATGTTGAGTGAAGGAGGCTCACTCAGTCTTGTGTGAAACAAGGACTGGTGAGTTTCCATGTAGAAAATTCTCTTAGCAGCCCAGTAATCCTAAGCAGGATTTTCCTTTCTGTCTAAGCATGATGCCTATCATCTCAGGGGCTTGGGAGGCTTAGGCTGGAGGATCCCAAGTTTAAGGCCAGGGTGGGCAACTTAGTGAGACCCTGTCTCAGAAATAAAAGGGACTGGGGATGTACAGTGGTAAAGTGCCCCTGCATTGAATTTCCAATTCCAAAAATATATTTTTTCCCTTTCTGTATTTGAGGTGGCTTACCAAACACAATGTCATATATATACTAGCACATCAAGAAATGTTTGATGAAATACTACCAACAGAGTTGACTGAAAAATCTGAGGATCCCACCAGCCATTCTCAGTGGCTCCATAGACAGAAACACACAGTTCCATGAAGAAAAACAATGTCAGCCTCCCTCCTAAATGCAAGCATTGTTTTCTCTCAATAACCCTAACACAAATCTGAAGAGGCCTCCCCAGTTTTATCCTAGGAGAAGGGAGTGGATAGCAGAGAAGGATGCTTGGGACAGATAGTACTGGGGGAGGCCAACTTTGTTCAGATACTAAGTCTGTCTGGGGCTGGTGATGTCAGGTTACTTTTTAAAGACGGCTTCCCTTCCAAATGGAAAGGCAATCCTTTGATTTGTTTGCCAAATAACCTGAAGAATAAATATGGTGAGAGAAAGGCTAAGAGAAGGAAGAGGGGAAGAATGGCCAAATCAAAGGACCATTGGGAGGGGTACCTATGCTCCAAAAACGTCTCTCTAGCATGTGTTCTCCTTCCCCCACCTCAGAAGCCTGGGAAGAGTTGAGCTCTGGCTCTGCAGAAACAGCTGCTGAGATGACCACGGAGTCTGGTGGCAGCTCACATTTCAGCACACAGTACAACTGCTCAAAGGCTCTTTGGAAGACCCAGGAGATTCTGTGCTGGGAAGACTTTTCTCCCAAGATCCATAGGCATTTTGAAACAAGGACCCGAAACACAACAACCCCTCATATATCACATTGGGGCCTCAGGCCCATTTATTTTAAGAGCCAGAGGTTCCTGTGTAAGTAGCAATCTTAGATTATGGATAGCCCTTTCTCTCTAGCCTGGGCAGGGGCCAAGAGAGAAAGACACAAAAACATATTTCACACTCCTTCTTGGTCTGAAGTTTTTAGGAAACCATTTCTTCCTTTCCCTTTCTCTAGAAGACTACCTTTGTAAATCAACTTGCAATCACATAAGCAGAATTTGCCCATGGTTTAAGCACTGAAGACTAAGCAAAACCCTCTGCATAGTCTGTTCCTTTCATCACAGACACAAAGAAGGTGAGAATGTGATGCTATCAAGGAACCAGCCCAGTCTTGGAACAAATGTACATGACTCCTTGTTTTCAACCCTAAGAATGAGACTGCTCCAGGGGCCTCACCTGGACTTTTCATCCTAGGGAGATCTGAGGGCCTTGATGGGAATATCTCAGCCTTGGCCCTTTTCTATGGCTACAAGAATGTTGTTCCTGCAGGTACCATCTACATTGTAGTTCCAGTGCAAGATACCAAGGGCTGACATTCTCTGGAAAAAAAATCTAGGGCTTGTAGTGTTTGAGTACTGACTGGGTATAGTTGCAGACATGGGACCAGGGCAGCTGGGAGGTGCTCAGTAGGTGAATCAGTAGGTGAATCGCATCTTTTGTGAATAGCCCAATTTGTCCAAGTTGGGATGGCAGGCCAGCTGTATCATTGGGGGTGGCCCACAGAGCAGCAGCAGTACATCATCCCCTGGGGCAGGCAGGTGCTCCTGGATCATGTCAGCAGTCACAAAGCCCTTGCTGTAGGCCCAATCTGAAGCACAGAGGAAAAGAGAGAACTGACCCATGCTGGCATAGGAATGTGGTACCATGAGAATGGATTATAGGAGAGGGCCCTGAAGGGCTCCTAAGAAGGTCTCAGGTTGTAACAGCAGTTACAGCCATCCCTGTCGCCCACCTGGTAAACAGAAACCCAAAGGAAAGGGATCAGGAGACCACTGTGTCTCTGTACTCATACTTGGGACTTTGGCAGTGTCAGGGAAGGTTGGTTTCAGTAAATCTAAAACTTACAGAGGGGCAATGCCTGGATTTTGATAATGAGGGGATATCATTATCCACAGAAATGGGGAGGATACCTTTGGGGGGATGGTCCAGAGTGAACCAGAGTTTAAAGCGATTGGGGTACCGGGCCTGCAGCTCCTCTAAGTCTTCCCGCAGGATTATGTCCTTTTCCGTCTGAAATGCAAAGGGAAAGCAGAGTCTTAGAAACCTTCTCAGGCCTACATCAGACAAGATCTCTGACTAGGGGTTGTGGCGCATGCCTGTAATTCCAGCTACTTGGGAGCCTGAGGCAGAAGAATCTTGAGTTTGAGACTAGTCTGGGCAACATACTGAGACCCTATCTCAAAAAAGAATAGAACAGAAAGAGAAAAAAGTTCACTGCTATTACAACTGTCCAACCAAGAGAGAAAAAGGCTGCTAAAGGCATGCTAATCTAGGGAATAAGCAACACTTGCAGCAGTTTTAAGGAGTTAGGATGAGGGGAACAGCCTTTATTTAGATATCATGAAGGAATAAAGGTAAAATATTTAACCAAGAAGACCCAAGGGTCTTTGCTTAGCACTAGATGCCTTAAATCTTTTCTTCTTTCCTTGGGGATTAGGGAAGAAATCTGGGTCAATGCTCAGTCCTATTTCCTCCTTATTGTAGTAGAGGGTCCTGTACCTGGCAGAAGGGGCCTTGGCTCAGAGACTAGAACAGGCACTAGGCCAGTTCTGCCCATTGGGTCCACTGCTCATGTCCATACCCACATAGCAACTCTGAAGTCTCAATATTGAGAAAAGCAAACTAACCTGGTTGGCAAAAAGCAGAAAGCACTGGGTTGGATCTTCAGGTACTTTCAGGATAGCCCGGATCAGCTGTAGCATTGGGGTGATACCTACATGAGATGCACCATGGTGAGATGTGGTGGTCACATTCTGTTCTGTCCCGGGTCCTTAGCTGATTCACCCTTTCATCTTAATTCTACTCATTCACATTCCACTCCATTTTTCTTTAGTACCCTAATCCTCTGATCTCCTCCTTCATATCCCTGGACATATCTGGACATCCTCAATATTTACCTAAATTCATA